TATAGTGAGCCACGCGGCCTAGCCGTCGCACAAGCGTGCCTGGACACGTGTCCCGCGGGGGTCGACGGCGGCTAAAAAGAAAAAAAAAAGAGAGGGGGTGGTGGTGGCGTCCTTGCGTGGGAACCCCCCCCCCCCCCTTCTTCTTCTTCTCTGGGAGCGATCCCCCAGTGTTATTTTGAAAGGATTTAAAAGTGTCCAGCGGTGGGGACTGTCCGGGTGGGAAAGGAAAAAATATTAGCCCCGCCTCCAAGGTCCCCCCCCTGTTCAAAAGTTCAGGAGGGGGTGGCTTGTTTTATTATACATTACTATTGAACCTTTATAAGTCAAACCTCTTCAAGTTGAACACATCCATGAATGCAGAATTTTTTTCAAGTCCTTGTTTGAATTCCCTTGGAACCATTGCACTGGAAATATCACTAAAGATAAACCTTGATAAGTTGACCCTTGGGTGGACGCCCATCTCACTGGAGCTAATTTGTGCTCCACTAAAATATGAGAGGGTGTGCCCCTACAGCCCCTCACTCCCCAAGCGCATCACTCTCTCCTTGAGGCAAATCTGTGAGAGACTTGAGACAAATCTGTGAGAGACTTGAGACAGTGCGTTTAAGGGGTATAAACAGTGTATCAGGACAATGAGCACTCATTTAACTATAAACCTTTCCTGTGAATAAATTCATCAAGGGAAACCCATGATTACAGTTCCTTTGTGTTATCCTACACCCACGGATCCTTGTCAAGTCAAATTCCCCCTAAGTTGAAAAATTGTCAGTTCCCTGTCTGAATCCCCTCAGGAACATTACATTAAAAACCTCCCTGAGTTGAAGCATTTTCCCTGCAAACCTCCATAAGTTGAAGCATTTTCCCCGCAAACCTCCATAAGTTGAATTTTCTGTGGCCTGTTGGCAATTATTTTCTTGACACAGGAAAAAAGCAATAAAAACATAAATTGATGTGTTTTAAGAGGAAGTGAAATACTCAATTGGGCAAATGGATCCCTGCCTTCAAGTTCAGCATCCTTTCAACTCATTTAATAAGCAATTTAAGCCCCAAAAAATCACCATTTACAATTTTGGGCAAGTTTTCTATGTCTCCCAGAACAAAAGGGCTTTTTGTATTGTAGCTCAAACCTATAAAATTCAAAACCTCCCTGAGTCAATTTTTTAGTTTTGCTGGTCCCTTGAGATTTGACTTTGAGAGGTTGACTGTAACTTGATGACTTTTCTTCTCAAGCCTCTGTGACTGACAATTTTATAAGGTCTTTGGCTACTATTTTCTTGATGCACAAATGAAAAAATAATACAGATGTAACAACAGGCTTTGAAAGGAAGTGAAAGATTAATTGGGCAAATGAACCCTTGCCTCCAAGTTCAGCATCTGGTGAACTCATTTTATGAAGTCATTTAAAGCCCAGAATATCACCATTCAAAATTTCCTGCAATTCTTCTATCTTTCCCACAACAAAAATGTTTGTTTACTTACTCAAAAACTTCCTAAGTTAATTTTTGCAGGTTGATGAAATTCAACTTAGAAATGTTCAACTGCATTCTGTTCAAGTCTTCAAGGGCACATTTTCCCCCTGAAAAATCTATGACATAAGTAGGAGTTCTCTCACACATCACCTTTTTAAATAATTTTAAGCGTTGACAGGTGGACTCTCTTTACAATGATTTATTTTCCAAATTTAAAATGTTCTGAGAAACATTTACTATAAAGCAAAACATACTTTTTTGGAAAAAGCAGAAAAATTCAAGGTCTTACTTTTTATTTGCTTGAAGGAATATTTAGAATAAGGAATTTGTTGACATTTTAAAATTAATTAATTCTTTTGAATTTTCTGAGATAATTCTGGATGTAAAATGCTTTGTATGAACAGTGTTTAAAGATATTCAGAAATACTTTTAATATAATGTCTAATTAAAAAAAAAACACATGACAAATTTCCATCCCGCCAGAAGAGGATAGGATATTCGTCAATATATCCTGTCCCCTCGGACATGATGTTCCCATGGAATAAATTTAAACTGTTGCTCCCGGGTTTTCGCAACCCTGGGTTCCTGGGTTCGACAGCTGCCACACGGCTGCCGGGCCAGGAACCGTGGGAACGCGTTCGGGGTTCATTCCCAATCCCGCGCATCTGACCCGGGGGTAGGAATTCCTGAAACCCTGTCTGATTATTGTCCGATTTCGCCGCCTTATTATTTTTCATTTGTTACTGGTTCTGGACCTGCATTCATTATTCTCACGCATCCCACTTTTCAGCAAGTTTCCAATAATGCACTATTTTGGATAAATAATTGGAAGTTTCTCTTAGTATTTGCCTAAAAAAACCTGAGATTTATTTTATGTTCCTCTTCAAAAAGCTATCAATGGTTTATCTTGAATTGGTTATATTTTACAGTTGAGCTTGGATGTCTGGAACCTCCCCAAGTTGAATATACAATATCCCTAATTCAAACTTTTTTGGTGGTCCCTTATTGAAATTTGACTTTGAAAGCTTTGACTTGTACAAGTACAGTTGAGCCTTTCTAAGTTGAATTTATTGGGACAATAAAAAAATGTAGTTAGGGAGGTCTCAATTTTTAGAGGTGCCAAGTTGAGGTAACAAACATTTTTGTTGTGAGGAAAAGTTTTTTCTAATGTGGGAAATTGTAAATGAGGATAATCTTGGTCTAAACTTGCTGAACTTGGAGGCAGGGGTTCATTTGCTTCATTAGTATTTCACTTTTTTGAAGATGCATCAAATCCTTTGTTTTACTGCTTTTCTTTTTCATAGTTCAAGGAAATAATAACCAAAAGGCCTCAGAAAATTTAACTTACTGAGGTTTGAGAGAAGAAAGACTGAGTTGGGGAGGTTTTTTAATGCATTTTTTCTAAGCGAATTCAGAAGGGGACTTGAAAATAATTTGACTTAGGGAGGTTCAACTTAGCAAGGTTCAACTGTATTATAAATTTCCTTGCTCAATGGATTATTTTTTTTCACATCCCAGTTGAACCTGAAATACTGTAGAGTGTTCTCTAAAACTTATGAAGTAGCAATATCTTCAGTGGATTCCTTGCATACCAAAACTAACCCAATTCAGGAGAATTTATTATTGTAATGCATGATATTTTTGTTGTCAATGAAATGCTACATGCAGTAATACAGCATTTTGTGGCAGTTTTATGCATTAGATGATGCTACTGTATTCCACCTCCTTTACTTCCACTGGAAACACCCACTGAAACAGTCATTCATGAAAAAATTGTTTAGCTGCTCAAAACTTTGATGATGATGGAATGGTTATTGATTGGAAAATTATGGCCCATGCACAAAATAGACTTGGCATTAGATTTTATGTGCAAATTTTCACTTTAAAGTGACTGACATGTGATGCACACTGCTTTCATGACATTCCTCCTAGCAATGGCATTTTGTAGCAGTTTATCCCATTTTTCTGCCTCACTGCTGTATAAAATTAGTGTTTAGGTGGTAAAAAAAAAATTGTTTTTAGACATTAATTGATCCTGAATCCAAGTAATTTTCAATTATTTAAAATACAACAAGTTTTATGTTAAAACTGGCCAAGAATTTCATATTAAAATCAAATACCTTAAATTGTAAAACTTTTTTAAAATTTCCCATGATGAGCACCCTTTTTCCATCTCAATTTTTACTCTAGTAAATATGGTACTTGCATAAATACTGTACAATATCGTGCAAGTTGTGCCGTACTTTTTTTGCTGAGTCACATGCTTGCATGTGGAGATTTGCTGAGGTGAAATTTCTGGCAGGAAGTGAGAGTGGCACTAAATCAAGGGTTGACAGCATTTGAGATTGTTCATGTGCTCAGTGCAATGTCATGGGATGGGATGGGATGGGAAAGAGATTATTTAAATAAATAAATAAAAAAGCAAAAAGGGAGTCAGTTGTGTAATGGGAAGGTCTTCCTGACAGCTGGTGCTGGCGTGGAGCAGAGTGGTGGTGGTGGTGCTGCTGCTGCTGACCGTGGGAACCAGAGGAGCATGGGTGAGTGAGTCCCAGGGATGAGCCAGTGGCATTCCCCAGCTGCGACCTGCGCACACATGTACACAAGATGGTCAGCGTGTGGATGAATCAGTTCATTAATTATCTCCCCTTCCTCACCCCTCCCCCCTTCTCTTTGGATAATAAGTAAGTAATGAATAATTTTACACAATGTGATTGATATCAACTGTGAATTATATTCAAAAATAAAAAAAAAAACTTTTTGGTCAGTAATTTTTATTTTTCTATTGAGTTTTATTTTTCTAATTATACAATGTGATTGATATCAGCTGTGAATTATATTCAAAAATATAAAAAAACTTTTTGGTCAGTAATTTTTATTTTTCTATTGAGTTGTATTTTTCTAATTACACAATGTGATTGATATCAACTGTGAATTATATTCAAAAATAAAAAACTTTGTGATCAGTAATTTTTATTTTTCTATTTAGTTTTATTTTTCTAATTACACAATGTGATTGATATCAACTGTGAATTATATTCAAAAATAAAAAACTTTGTGATCAGTAATTTTTATTTTTCTATTGAGTTTTATTTTTCTAATTACACAATGTGATTGATATCAACTGTGAATTATATTCAAAAAAAAAAACTTTTTGGTAATTATTTTTTATTTTTCTATTGAGTTGAAAAAGTGATCAAATACTGTACTCTACATGTGTTTACAGAAAAGCTAGCTTTGAAATAAGTGCAACTGGAAAATACTTTTGTGGCTCAGTATTCAGTTGTGGTTAATGTCATGATGGGTTAACATACAATGTTGTATAATTTTTAACCTTCTACAGGTGGACTCTCTCTAAAAGAAAATTCAAGAAACCAGAAAAAAACTAAATGTAGACCAGAGACTTTTGTTGTGGAAAACCTGTTTAAGAAGGGAAGAGAACCCTAAGGGACCAAAACAGTATTTTTTTTAAACAGATAAAATTGTTTTGCACAAGTTCCTTGTAGAGAAAGTTGACCTTTATCAGTGAATTTCCTCTGCCAAAGTGATTTTGTTGTCAAATTTCAACATTGAATTTCTCATGCAATGACTGTAAACTTTTCCAAAGTATTGGGAAAACTAAGATCCATTTTATCTTTTAATTCATTCCTGTTTACTCTTTCATGGGAAAATGAGGGATTTTATGTGAAATTCTTCCTGAAAGTTTCAGCATAATGACTGTAAACTTTTCCAAAGTATTGGGAAAACTAAGATCCATTTTATCTTTTAATTCATTCCTGTTTACTCTTTCATGGGAAAATGAGGGATTTTATGTGAAATTCTTCCTGAAAGTTTCAGCATGTTTTTTTGTTTTCTTACTTCATATAATTTAATGGGAATAATAACAGTTGAACCTTTCCAAGTCAAGTTTCAAAGGACTTGAAGACATTTGACTTTTAGCTTTTTTTTAGCAAGGGGATTTTCCTCCTTCTGGTGAAAATTTACATGTTCATTGCCTGCAATAAAATGCTCAATTCCTTGTGGAGAGCTAAAAGAAAATAATTTGCCCTTTTTATAGTGTTCTAGGAAAGCTGTTATAAAATGTGGTCCCTTACAATTTTAATAATAGAGGTTTCATCCAAAATGTATCAGTTGCAGATGTTCAAATTACATTCAACTAACAGAAATCAGCCAGGGATTTAAAAGTCATTCAATTTAAGGAGGATTAAGGTAGCTTTGACTATGCAATGTTGAACTGTAGTGGAATATCATGCAACCTCATGTTTTTTATTTCTTTCTGTAATATGAGAAAAAAACTCCTCAAAAAAGTAACTATGGCTCAAGTCTTGCCTTGAAACTAAAATCTCAAAATTTGTTCCCTAAATGTCACCATGCCTTTCAGGGGATTTCCAAGCCACATTCCTCTCTTTCTTTTCTTCTTTTTGGACAATATCCCTGGCCTCGGGTTCAGGTCATTAAAACCCATTCAAGCAGAAATTATGCGACTGTGACAAACAAAACGTACCCCATGTCCTTCCCCTGCAGTTTTCCTATATTCGCCCTGCTTGGTTAAATCAGAGACTAAAAAAAAACAATGATGAAAAAGAGGGAGAAGAGAACAAGAAAAAAAATACAAAAGGAACCCCATGTTAACCTTATTGTTGTTATTGGCTTGTGTGATGTGGTTTCCCCCCAAGGCATTCCTGTGCCTGGCCACAAAACTGGTCCTTCCATAAAACCTGATCACCTCCTCTGCTGGGACTCCTTTTTTTGCGTATGTGTGTGTGTGTATCTGCTCACACACACACTTTATTGCCATCAAGCACCCAGGTGAAATTCCAGTCATGCCAGAAGGCGTATTTTCGCGAGAGAACCCAAGACAAAAGGGCGCGCGGAATGTGCGCGGGGAAAAAAAGGAGCATTTGGCAGGAATGCTTTGGCCCCGGGCACGGGTGTTGATGGCAGGAGGGCGATCCCGAAAAAATTTTCATTGTTGAGGAGGAAAGTTGTGTGTGTGTGTGTGTGCCGGGAAAAGAAGAGAAAGAGAGAGAGAGGGCACCTGGGCAGCATCTGGTCTCTGGGATCGGAAAAATCGTGGGAAAGTCGCCTGGGCCAGGATTCGCCATCCGGACAAGAGCAGCACAGAGAGAAGCCTTGTTGTGGGGGCACCAAATGTGTGTGTGTGTATGTCTGTGTGTGTGAGTGTGTGTTCTCATATATACTGCACAGCATACAGTATATCCATGTGTGTGTGTGAAAGACAAGGGTGTATTAAACATCATTCAAATTTTGATGTGTTGTGTGTGTGTGACTTATAAAATGCAACAGCAGCTGGCCTATGTTGATGTTCACTTGAACTAAGATGTGTATTTTTCTGGTTGTTTTAAAAAGAACAGGAATTTAGAGGAAACCATATTGGCAATTCAGCCTTGCAAAGTTACTTGCATTCTCAAATTCTGGTCCACAAAATTTAATTTCTGTTTGAAAATATCTAGTTATTTTAAAAGACATTTTTCATTGGATTTTTGATTGGATCTGTTGAGTTTAATGAAAGCAAATACAGTATTGAGTAATTTTAATACAGTATTCCAGTGAGACATGCTGAAAATAATTTTCCACCTGACAGAAAGTGGTATGCTCAAAATGGTAGGATCTCAGCTGAGAAACAAATTTTTTAAGAGTATATTATTCATTAGCTGAAATGTTAGTAAGATACATTAGAATGATTCCTATCCTTTCTTTGGAAAATTTCAAGTTTTTGCCCCCTGAAGCACTTGAAAACTGGATCCCTGTTTATGAATCAGCAGTACAGGATGCTGAAAATAAGACATCATTTTTTTAAATGTCAAAGGTATGTTAGCTGAGGCGTTGACCAAGATCCAACTGTATGGAGCTTTACTGTTTTATGCTACCATCTCTTTAGCCATACCAAAAATAATTTGATTCCTAGAAGAAATTGGTAGAGTTTTTCACAGATGATTCTTATAATTCAATAGGTCCCTGCTTGAAAAGGACTCATGTTACTAACAATTGGCAAAAGAAAACTTTTGTTGAATGTCAAATCGAATTCTGTTACAATATTATTTCATGTAATATAGTAACATTTTATTGAAAAAAGTATACATTTCAGCACGTTTTGAGTTTGAATGGTTGAATTTATTTTCATATACTGTAGTGTAGTACTGTACTGTATTAGGTACTGTATAATAGGAAGGCTTGTGTGAATTAAGAGTGGGGCCTTATGGGTTTAGACGTTTAGTATGAAGTTGAGTAACAGATATGTGACCTATGTTTTTTGATCCCAGAGATTCACCCAAAATAATGGTATAAATGATTCAAATTTTCTTCTGGTGATCTCGATTGCACTGAACATATGGCTCTGTTGATTTCCCGATTCTGAGTGACGAATCTCTTGTATATTTGAGAATTTTTCGCAATTTAAAATTACTCTTTGTAAAGTATTTGTCTTAACGTCAATGAGATTTTGTACAGTACTGTATAAGGAATACACCAAGGGTCGCCAGTTTCGTTTGTGGTGTGAGCGCAGCGTCACAAGAGGTAGGGGGGTGAAGCGCGCGGAGGGTGGTGCATAGCCGGGGAGTTTAAATTGCCAGTTGCCTACGACTGTCCTCGCAGTCTGTCCGCGGCCCTCGCCTGACGCGGACGTGGCTTCAAGGGAAGCATCTCTCGGGCACACATCTTGCCTCACTCCGAATGCGGAGACAGTGATGTCGGATTTTTGTTGTCGCAGGGTATCACACCCGACCGCGTACTGTAGTGTCACAGTTTGACAAGTTTTGCTGAAACTGATTCATCGTGTGAGATATTTTACCTGAACTTGTGCTTGACGTTATCTTGATTTTGTTCATCAGAAAGGTTTCGTTGAAAGAAACACGATAGTTCGCAGTGTTCGTCCAACGTGCTTTCGCTGAGATTCTCGCAGTCGCAAAAGTCGTCTGAACATTCGAACGTTTCGCTTGAGCTCTTATCGCTTACGCTCTAATGCCTGTGGCCACCGTGACGTGTCCCGTGAAAGCAATGAAAATGATCCAACACGAAGTGTCAACGCGCAAGCGCGTTCTAAAGAAGAAAGCATCCAAGCTGCGTGTTGGCGGAAAGTCGGAAGAAATCCGCACTTACTTGTCCAAGCTCCAGGAGCTCGTCCCATTTGTTCCTAAGGACAAGAAATTGTCCAAGTTGGAGGTGATCGAGGGTGTCATCGATTACATTTGCCACCTCCAGTATGCGCTGCAGACCCACCCAGCAGTGGTTGGAGCCTCCAACTCCGGCGAGCGGCGACCTCTGTGTCAGCTTGACGAACGCGTCGAGGTAAATATTTGTTTCCGTTCGATCAATCCACATGAAATCTCAGCCGGTCGGCGTCTTGGCTTGTTCGTATGCGAGGCGCCCCGTTTTGGATAATCTTTGACATGAGCAATCCCATGATTAATTTGTAATCTTCAAAAATTGCACGGAAGGAGCAATTAATATAACATCGCGAGTAATTCATCATGTAAATCGTAAAATATGTTGAAGGAAGACGCGCGCGTAATGTCTAGTGCTTGTTCACAATTTAATTTTTGTTGAAGGATCCCGAGACTATCAATTTAGCTGAGGTCTGTCAAGTTTATTTTGTCTTTTTAATCAATTTCGCTTACCTTATGTCCTAATCATCAGGTTTGTTTCCACTTGAGCTGGCCAATTTTTGTTCAGTTAACCAATTATGTATCCCAGCTTCCGTGCTGTTATCATTTTTTGATGCATGGTCCTTTCTGTTGGATCATGAAGAAGCTTAGAGCTTGATTTTCGTCGATGAATAAGGAAATTATGTTCAAAAACTAATACAGTATTATCGGATTGTGGGTCGGTACGGCGTAGTTTTTGAGAATTTCAACGTTTGATTATCTTTATCAGGCGACGTTGTGTAATTGCCTGATAATTTCGAATATTTTGAGTTGAACGCTTCGGACATATGGGTAATATTGTTTTTCAATTCTGCTATTTGCAGATGAATGACACAAGTCTGGACTTCGCGTCATGAAGCAAGCTCAGTGGAGAAGGAGCTGAAGTTCTGGGGAAAACTGTGATAACTTGTTCCTTCTTGATAAATCTGATCGCGCGCTGGCTGTGATGATAATGTTTCCTCAGTTCGTTTCTTGTGAGCGCGGTGCATCTCTTGAATCGTCATGTTATCCTATTTTCTGGCTTTCGACATTAAAGTTTTGATGGAAAAATGTTTTGATATCCAAGATCAGGACTTTTATTCCTTCCGTTGGATCGAGCAGTTGTGCTAGGTTTTAGTTCGAAGGAAAGTTCAGAATATTAGGTATGTGTTAACGACGTGTGGATCAAGGATAATTTCACTACAGTACGTTGGTCATCGAAAACCACGTGGGAACGCTGTATTGAGAAAAATCAAGTGTTCGATATAAATGTGCAAGTTGAGGATACAGAAAGCTCCTAAGCTTCAGGAAGACGAAGCCATGTTAATGCCCAATAGATCTTGGGTCACCATGTACACGCTGCTGTGTTGAATTTAAATCGAGTCACTTGAAGTGTGAATGCAGGTCAGTTCGACACCTGAAGCCGAAAAGGTCACTCGGGATATAAACACGTTACGTGAACCCGTTTTGTTGTTGCCCTGGTGATAGTAGGTCAGCCAGTCCACTCTTCTCACCGCCTCACCCGAGTCGTTCACGAACACTGTCTGAGCAATCGTTAACGTGAATAGTAGCCATTCGCAGGATGTACTTGGTTCTCCGTCAGGGTGCATTCATGTTCTTGTGAATTTTCTCACCGTGACATGCTTAACTGGTAACTTCTCCCACATGGCGTAGGTAGCAATCTGTGATTTCGTGTGTTTTATGTGTGAGACCTCGTATCCCTACGATTTACACGGCAGGGAACATGACATATTGAAGGGCATGTCGTCGAGAAGGAGCTACTGCCTCATGTTATCTCCTTATGCAATAATCGCATCTTTTCACGGAACCAAGGTGCGATGCCTTGCTGATATTCGTTAGCAGGTACCACGCATCAGTTCGAAGAAATGTCCGGAATATCATCGTAAAAATGAAAGCTATTCGTGCCCCGTTCCCAGTAACGACGACGGTCATCATATAATTACACATTCCAGGGGTATGGATGCATAACCATCACCCGAAGGGTAACTGGCTCCTGCAGAGTAATCTTGCCCGTTACGTCGGAAGAGCATGACTTTCAGACGATTATACGTTTATTCTGATTGAATTGCTTCGGAACACCAACGACCAGAAGAGCCGAACATGGTACATTTTTTTTGTGGGTTTTGCTGACTTGTGCTTATTTTCTGCTGAGGAACTCGATCATTATGTTTCGAGGAACGAAAGAGTAGTGTTTTGGAATGAATTTCGTGTTGTAAGAGCCGCTCCGGCATCCGAAGGAGACCTGCTAAAAGAAAAAATGAACTGTAGAACGTCCGTGTAAACGAGATTTTTATTTTATAGTATCATCAGTTTTACAGACTTCGGTTGGTACATCTTACCTGAAAGCATGCGTAAATGGGAGAACACGAGTAAGGTTTATTTACCACATTTTTAGTCAGTCTTTTTTTCCAGTCTGCAGAATCGCAACGTATCATCCCTGCTGATTTCACTTGAATATGGGGTAATTGATTCGAGAGTACACTTCTAATGCACTCATTAGACATTAGCTTGAATCAAAATAGTTGCCAAATTGCTTGTAGAATATAGCCCCATTCAATTTCCCTTCATTTTATTCTGAAGCACTTGTCTGTGGGGGGTTCAAAAGTGTAATGGATGTTGTCACAAGTGTCCACGCTCAAAATCACAGCTCTTTTCAAGACAACTTTTTTTCCAGTTCTGCATCTACTCCCTGATGGGTCTCATTTGGATAATTTTTGAACAACATGCTAAAGTTGTTCACAAGAAATGTTTTTTCAGAGCTGCTGCTCAAAATTAATCAAAGATCAATTGGGACCAGTTTTAGATTTTCATGAGTAAGGAGCATTTGCTCTGTATTTGTTCCCATATGTTCAACTTCACGTAGATATGAATTATTTCACCACTACTTCTTCCATTGCCTTGAATAAAGATTTTTCTTTGAGCCCATGTGTATCATTCAATGTTATTACTACACAAATGTTAATCTAATCCGCATGAGCGGTAAAAAAATCTTTCTTTGTACAGTATCTTGAACTTTAGAAATGGTAAGTGCATCCTTAATTTTTGAGTCATCACTAGTGCCATGTTTTGAATGGTATAGCGCGGAAAACTTTATTGATGAACCTCGGTATTCACCGGAGGTCTGTTATGTTTAAAGTATAGTTCTGTAAGGAAATACGGCTGAAGTTCAAATGTTTCATTCTGTCATCCGAATTGCATGATTCGCGGAAGACATTCGTGATACCCTTGCTTAAGCCTTCATTCCATCCATGTACCCTGTAAACAAAAATGCATGAAAAATTCACAAGATGCTTTCGCGTGCTGTGTGGTGTGAACTATCCTCCGGCCTCCGCTACAGCTGGGAATCGACATGGAAGGTCATAGTTGAAGGAACATATATATAGACTAGTAATTCATGCGCAACACCATTTCTTCTCTTTCTCGTTCTCTGTGCATGATGGTTGTCCGTGTGCTTCTGAATATGGCAAAAGTTATGCAAGGCGGGTGTCTGATGCAACCGCGTGCTCGCCAGATGCTCGGAATTGAATTCCGCGCCGCATTGCGAGGCCCAGACCGTGAAAATGGCTCGAAAAGGGAAACTGCGGTCGCATTGCAAGCAGCTGGTACCTGGGCGGATGGTAATGACTCTTCTCTTTCAACCCAATCCAGAATTGTGTCAGATGGTGTGACACGCCATCTGCTGGGCCTGCCTGTCGTCTTGCGAGTCAAGCCAGCAAGCAGCAGGCACGCATTTCCTGCGCCACGAAGGAAATCCGCCCCCTTTTTTTCCCCTCTATGGTATGTGGGTGTGTTTGAGAGCCGAAGAGAAGAGAAGAGAGCACGTGTGCCTGCTTGTCTTGCCGGAAGCCCCGCGCCGGTGTTGAGGGATGAGCAAACTTCCTGCATCCATCTATCCGGTGTATCCGCCGCGAAGGAGCCAGCCAGCCGGTTGTCGGTGGTGCACATCCTCTCACCTGGATATTTCTTCCTGTGCTCTTGGGAAGTGGGGGGGGGGGGTATCATTGCACTTCTTGGGACCTATTCTTGCATCTTGGATTATAAAAGTGTTCCGCAACCTCTTTTGGCTTATAGACTGGCAAATTTCCATAAAATTTCTGTAGACCAGCAAAGTTGCATAAAATTGGCTTGAAAGACTTTTTTTATGTACAGTATTTAGAAAGTTTATGCTATTTGCAAAAATGAGGTTAAGAACCAATGAAGCAGCTATGAATGTCTCCAAAAAATTAGAATGGTGGGCTTGAGGAAAGGTTTCTTGTAATGAAAATGCAAAATACTGTAATTTATTTCAGCAGATAAAAATTTTCTGAAGTGCTTTTGGGAGAAAAGCCAACTTTTATTTTACATCAGATAATTTCAACTGTCATTGTATTTCTGAAATTTCATATAAATATAACATACTTCATTGCTAATTTTTATGAATGTATTATGCTGAGGAAAATTTCCCACAGAACAGCACTGACAACAAAAAACTTGCGCCAGTCTACAAACCATGGGTTAGGCAACACTGGGTTATAAGGATCATCATTACTAAACTGACAAGAGTGCGTGGTTGCAACTTTCTGCAATAAAAGCATTTCCTATGCAATCCTGTCAATGAAACTTGGATAGTCTGATGATTTTCAAGTTGGTGCCAACATTATTATATTTGATGGTACTGTATTTTATTTTCTTCCTGTTGTTCCATAAATATGTAGAAATAAAACAGTCATCAAATTTCATCAAGTTATTCTCCCTCCAAGTTAGTCAAAGATGCAACAGGTAGACTCTACAACAAAATTCAAGCAACCATAAAAATGTATTATGTAGAGAATTCTATATGGTACCAAAAAATTGCTGTACAGAGAAAATTGTAGCAGACCAGATCATTGTAGAGAGTCCAGCTGAAATAATAAAAAAGGCCAAAAACATCCTGTGTTTTATTGAATTTAAACCTTGATGAAGGAGATGAATGTGCAGCAGTAATAAGTCCACAACAATGTCCACACTGAACAGAGACAGGGTTCTTTAATAACCTTTCTTCCATAAATGTACTAACTGTAAGAAAAAATTATTCTTGTGACAAGTAATTTTATTTGTAGAAGAACCTCTGCAGCTCATATAGTACACATTTCCTCTTCTGTCACTCACAAACGCTTGTACTGTATGTCGTACTTATACTCTACAGTACTGTGCTGTACAGTATACCAACCGACCAGCAGCAGGCCAAGGGAAGTGATAGGGGAGACGTTGGTTGCTGGATGGACGGTTTTCTCCTTGACGTTCTGCTGCTGCTGCTGCTGCTTCAGGTGGGCTCTCTCTATTTTTCCCTTACACTCCATTACTTATACTTTTTGTGACACACACACACACAACTAGTTACTTTCTCCTTCTCAGTCAACGCCGAGTTCCTTGTGGGCAGGACTGCCTTGTAAACAAGGGAAGAGCAGGTTGGAGACAACAAGGAACAGCGCCAAGGGACTACGCGTGTGGCGTGCACCATATTGGCTCGCTTTGCTGATGTGCGTATGGTGTCGTGTGGTATGCTGCGTGGTGTGGTGTGGCAACATCATGGTAAGGCACAGCAGTCTGCTTATTTGGCATGGCTTGATGATTTCCCCCCTTGTGGAACTGCTGTCCGCGACGTTCTTCGTTGCTGCTGCTCAGATGTCCACGTGTGCACACCTAAGATGGATCCCCGCCGGACTTCAGACCCCCGGAATGAATCTTTTTGGTTCCATTTGGACGAAAGAGGACCTCACGCGACAAATTTGTCCCATGTGAGAAACGCAGCGTTTTTTTTTCTGCTGGAAATCTGCTTCTGTACCTTGAAAGGGGCCAACACGAAACCCTCAGATGTTTTTTTTTTAAACCGAAGAAGAACTCACGCGACAAGTTCGTCCCACATTAAAAATGAAAATCATTTTGGGATGGTGTTGGGGACAACAGTCACCACAACAAACGAAAAGAGCAAGAAGCTGTGGATCAAGAAATTTAGAAAGCGAAAAACAGAATCAGCCTGGGACAAGGCTGGGGATTCTTGGTAGAACATTTTGGGATGGTGTTGGGGACAACAGTCACCACAACAAAC